TAATAAATAGTCTATTTCAAGTATTAATCTAATCTGTGTGAAAAACACGGGATTTGCAAATCTCTGTCTCCGGCTTCCCTCCCCCACCCCCTTTCTCACTATCTCTCTTTCACTACATATGCATTTGCATTGAAAGGCCGCTGATGTCTTACTGTGATAAATCCGGAATTATCTTCTGATTTTGTATGAGATTCGAGGCAAATTCATGGTTACAGTCCCGAGTAGAAGGAAGGAACGAACGATCGAATATAATGAAAATCGTGATTACAAGAAAAACGAATGAAAAGTCATTTCATTTTACCGGCGATATAATTGGCCAAATGTATATCAAAATTTTAATTCATTATGTGATTATTTGTTATGATATGATTATGACACGAGGCGTTACATCTTTATCGACTTGAAGAAGAATTAAGGAAAATACATTTATAATCGTATGCAGGAAAGTTTCATATTGACTAACAACAAATGCTCTTCGCACAATGCTTTCATTAAAACTGTTATCATAATGTGAGACACGATGTATTAAAAAGTATAATTAACTGGTATAATGTTAACGTTTTTCTAATGTATTCTTTATCAGCATAATTAATTCAGTTTTAAATGATTTTAAGAGATACGTCGAAAATTTAAGTGATATAATTAATTATTGTCTTAAGTTTTCAGTTTGGAGTGTTTTTTTCTTTTCTTTTTTTTTCTCTATAAATAGTCTGTTGACTGGTAAAATCTTTGTATTTCAATCTCATACAATTTTTCCTACTCGTACTCGTAACAAGTTGTTTTGATCTAATTTTTTATACATACATTATAAATTTAATAATAGCATAAACATTATTGTGTGGATAATTTAATTATAATGTATACTGTTAGTTGGTCTTTTTTTTTTTTTTTTTTTTTTTTTTTTTTTTAATAAAAGTAATAGAAGTAAAAAATTGCAAAATAAATTCAATTGAATTCAATTAAATAAATCCATTTGATTGTAGTAAGAATACGTAATTTGGCGATTTTAATCAAATTCATTCGTCTTCGTCAATCTTATTATTCGGAAATTATAAAAAGAAAATTATACATACTGCCACATTCTTATAAACAATACTTGATCCTTCATATATTTTTGTTACATATGAATCATAGAATTATACGTTTAAATGCTCTTCATTCTCGATTTATCAACAATCATTAATTCATTATGATTTTAAATTTTAATATTATTTCGCTATTCAACCTGTTCAATAGAATAATATTGTAAAAATCATTACTTATTTATCTCTCCTCCTCTACCACTCCCCCTCGATCCTATCTATCTGTCTATCTCGATATCTGCCATTTTACCGTCGATACTATGGTAAAATTGTGAAATATTGATTGTCCTAGGAAATTTTTTGCCAACGGCGCTTTTACTCTCCACGTTTTAAATTCAAATTTAATTTCCCATAAATTGATCGATTATACGATCGTTCATGACAGTTTGCGCGAACTCTAATTTACCGACAGCCCATCGACGTCTTAAAACAATCGATATAATTATGATGACGCGATCCCGAAAAATCGACACTTTCGTTACATAAGCATCCCCGACTCGATCCTCCAAGTAAATCGCTCGTAATACGAAACGAGACGAACAAGTGAATCTCAAAACCTCAATTGCCACACTCTCTTCAAACTCCATTTTAATATTCTTAAACGCACGACCAGAGCCTCGAATACCTACGCACGCAGCATCCCGTCATAGCCGCTGCAGCTTCAACAATGGCTTATCAGTAGGAGAGTTGAGGAGCGAAAGATGAGCGAATGCCGGAAAATGCCCGAGGAAAACTGTCCCGAGGCCATGAGCGAACACTCAGCCCAAGTGAAAAGTACTCCGCACTCCGACATCTCGTACTCGCTGCCCTGTCCTCGTCCGCAGCCGTGGACGCCCCGAGAATTCGCGGCCACGGCCGAACGCCTCGGGTACGATAACGACGTCGCCGCGGTCGGGTGACCGAGGCCAAAGTGCTGACATCTGTGAGCCAATGCCTGAATCCGCCGGATCAACGGCCAGCGTTCTTTGTGAAGTACGGTGGGGGAGGGTGGTGGCCAGAACGGCTGCTGCTGGTGCTGCTGCTGCTGCTGCTGCTGCTGCTCTCGTCCGAGGGCAATGTGCATCGAGCAGCGTTGCAGGGTCCTATCGGACCCTGCATCGACCGTCGGCCCGCCTTCGGGGGCCAGCTTGCGCATCCAGCCGAGAGATGGGACGAGCGGACTCTCGTCTTACCGCTCGCCGATCCGCGATTTTTCACTTTTCAGGGGAAATCGGGGCGGGCGGGGGAGAGCAACCGACAAGCTCCATTGATACGACCTCCTTCCTTTCCTCTACGCCACTCCTTGCTCGCACTAATTCGACGATCCGAGTCAATTGGATCACTTGGCATTGGTATTAGGATAGGTGGCGGGGTCGCGGCGGTTGATAAGTTTCCACGGGCGGCAATCGGTACCTTCCCGGGGTTTCTTCACGTCCGACTGGCAAAGTATCGATCGTACTTGGCGTGTGTGCGCGCGCGGCTCAATACCGCCCCGACTGCGTTTATGTAGCCTAGGCGAATTCCTGACATACGGGCCCTCGTCCTGCGCGGCAGGCCAATCGGCTGTAACTCTTACGATCGACGTTGAGAGGCGTAAGGAGCAGTGACGCCCGAGTATCGCGAGAAGTTGATGCAGCTGAAGCGCCAAGTATACTCCGGAGCTTCCGCAAATGTCACCACGACGGAAATTAAAGGAAGACTGAGCCGAGGTTGGTTGGTCGCCGGGGCCCAAAGTCTCGGAGACGTTTCCATAATTTCCCTCGGGCGGTGTCCTCCCCTCGGGTTAAGTCTAACGTCCCACACGGTTACATTACGCTCCGTTGTTGTTGTTATTGTTATTGTTATTATTGTTATTATTGTTATTATTGTTATTATTGTTATTATTAGAGTTTGGGAACGCTGCGCCGAAGGAGATGACGTAGTAATGAGAATAAAGCCGACGGGGGTTTGCGCGCAACCTGCAAACCTGAATGCTTATGAGATCCAATAGCTCGGCTTGTGGGGCCCCTGTCTAGATAAATTACGACTCCGGCCTATTATCACTTTGTTATGGCAGCCATTAATTATCGGCCTCGTTGCGTCGCCGATGAGTATTGCGCGCATTGTCAATAACCGAAGGATCCTGCGTCGTGCGTCGCGTGTATAATCCCGGGGCGGTATATTGCGAAAATTGTCATTGAATAAGGAGAGCCGATGGCAGCGTTTTGCCTCTCGCTCGCTCTCCCCGCCACTTATTTCAGCTGTTTTCTTCCGCGTAATCACTTTTAATTACGTAGCGTATTCCATCGATTAAAGCCAAAATGTTTCTTCCATACCGAACAAACGTATTTATAAATTCACTTTACTTGTACATTTACTCGGGCAATGTGATTGAGTCCTACAATTACCCCCCCCCCCTCCCCCCACCACCCCCCCACCTCCCCCTCCCCCTCCCCCACCCCATCGCCATCACCATCCCCATCCCCATCCCCATCCCCAATCACCTTCAACCTGCTTCAAGTTACTTTTTTCTCAAAAAATAAAATTAATAAAATTAAAAAAAAAAAAAAAATAGTAAAACAACGGACAGCCGTGGCATGGACGGTGATTTGTTAATTAATTTTGTCGCACAAGTCATTTGATAAACCCGTACGTTTGCTAAGTGATTTTGCGAGAAAATCTAATTAGCGCGCTTTCCCATCTCCAGCAAATGCCTCTTACTTACATTTACATAAATACTTCTTTATAGACGGTATTGCGTTTAAGTGCATCAAAAATCTATGGACATTTAATAGTCGAAACCACAAATACAATGCAGCTCAAATATTATTATTACCGTAAAATGGAAAAAATTGGTCATTTTTATCCGAATCGAAGCATATGAGAGCCACGGACAATATTAAAATATTAACAATTTCAGGCAATGATTATAGCGGGGAAATTATTTATTACCCAGTGCCATGTCATTTTTAACCGACGGTTTTTTCTCCCAACAGCATCACGCCAAGTCCAAGACCACTCACAAAGCCAGAAAGCGCAACAGCATTGCGCAAATAATAATTGCCGATTGAAATAGTGGCGGGCCATGAGGGCCGGGACATGGTCCCCGTCCAGGTCGTCCAGGTCGTCCAGGTCGTCCAGGTCGTCCAGGTCGTCCAGGCAGTCCGGGGAAAAATCTGCCGACTTGAACGAGAGAGATGCTAGGGTGCCGGAATTATCGCTCGCGACGCAATCCGTGGCTCGCCAAAAGCAAAAAGATCAGCTCAATAAATAACTTGGCTCACGGTTTGAGCCGCCTCTCATATAATTGTGCGCGCGCCTCGCTAGAAAACTGGAGAGGTTGGAGGCCTATTTCTGGCGGCGGCGACAACGACAACGACAACGACCACGACGACTGCTGACCCACGTGTCACCGGGACGGCTTTTGCACCGGTGAAACTCTGCAAATCCACGCGGCCCTGAGCCTCGCTAATCGCTTTCGAAAATATTCTCACGTACGAGTGCGCCGAGGTACTTTCTCCGTCCCGCTGGCTCGTGACACGTTTTAACGAGTGGAACCAAAAGAGCGACTTCCTGGGCGATTTCCTTATTCGCCGAGACGACGATTGGGCCTTCCCTCGCTATCGCGTTCGACAATGAACGACAAGACCCTGCCTGATTGATACTACGAATGGGCCCGTTCTGGGCCAACGGCTCCTTAAACAACCAATCAATTGCCTTCTTGTCTCATGCGGCCGCCTGACGTGAATGCGTGTGTCGGCCCGCGTATGCGTGTGCGTGTGCGTGCGCGTGTGTGTTGGGTGGGCGGGTGGGTGTGTTGAGCGTGTGGGGGAAGGGGGAGGGACTACGAGATTTTTCTCCTATTATATCGAGATTCTAGAGGCTCGATGAAAGTTGGAAATCGGGTGATGGGCGCGCGCTTGGTCGGCTCGAGGACGCATGATGAAAGGTGAGACTCACCAAACTGACTCCTCATCCAGGGGTAGAGCGGACTCGGCAGATTGGCGGGGGTGGCGCTCTGCGGCGTCCCCGGAGGCTGCTGACCCAACGGAGAGGCTACGACGCCCTGGTGCTGCTGGGTCTGTGCCTGCTGCTGGGCGTGCATTGCCGTCTGCTGGGCCTGCTGGGGTTGCGTCTGTTGTTGGTACATCAGGTGCTGCTGGGTTTGCTGCATGTGTTGCTGCTGCTGCTGCTGCTGCTGCTGGGAATGCGTCTGGGGTGGTTGGGTCGATTGCTGGGGCTGTTGTTGAGGGTGCGGCTGCTGGGCCTGCATGTGAGGATGCTGGGGGTGCATTTGATGGTGCATTTGAGCGTCGACGAGGGGTGGACTGTCGGGACCGTCGAGGACGCTGCCCTGGTGGTCGACCGCCGCCGCCTGGAGTTTGCACGAGGCGTAGACGATGGGGGTGGAGGGATGGCCATTAACGGGAGTCGGCGTGTGCCCGAGATGGGCAGGCATGCCGGAGGTCGGCGAACTCGCCCGGTAACCGGCCATGTCCATGCCGTGTTCTTGCTGCTGCTGCTGGTAGTAGGCCGCGTTCCTGATGTCCATGCGGTCATAGGGTGGGAACCTCGGGTAGGGCATTCCCGGCTGCTGGCCAGTCGCGGCCGCGTAGTGGTGTCCCGGTAGACCTTGGCGAAGCATCGTCGGATCGCAGGGGTCGCTCGCCTGCTGGGGCTGTTGTTGGACCGCCTGCTGCTGCTGCGGCACCTGAACCGCGGCCCCGTAGTGCTGCTGGTGTTGATGCGGGTGCTCCACCCCGCCATTGCGCAGATCTGGGATGTACGAATTCGCAAAATACGAACTCATGCTATGGCTATGTGCGTGCGGCTGCTGCGGCCAGTCACTCGCGCACTCTTCCTCCAACGGTTTTGGGCCTCGTTTAGTCGACGATTACAAGCTACGGCCAATATCTCTCTCACTCTCACCCTCCTCCTCCTCCTCCCTCCCTCAATACCAGCACTGTTTCTAAATCCCCCCCTTCCCGCACTGTGTCTATCTCTCGCACTATCTCTCTTTATCTCCCCCCCTCCCTCACTCTCTCTCTCTCTCTCTCTCTCCCTCGCCCCCTCACTCTTTCTCTGTCTCCCGCCGATGCTCGCTTCGTCACCTTATCACTACCGCTACCAATTATTAACTTAACCGCTCGTTCCTTTGTACTCACGTTTATCTCTCGTCTTCACTATGTGTATTGACGCCCTTATTCTTTCGATGCACTTTCGACACTCAAAACTTACAAACGGACTTATCACCACTCGGACTACTTTTTTTTCATCCCATCGGCACAACACCATTCATTTGCCTACATTTGTATGTGCTCATACGTTTTTATTTATACACACAGGCGCGCGCGCGCGCGCACACACAGTCACACACACACGCACACACACGCGCACACACATATATAAACACATGTATATATTTGTATATATTTATATATGTGCATGTATACATATACATATATATACATATATATATATATATATATATATATATATATATATATATATATAT